ATTTCTTGTCTAATTTATTACTCAAACAAGATTTTTGTTTGAGCAATAAGATCTCCATTGAAAGAGGTGGTCTGAAGTGTGTTTCTTGCTCAAATGAAAGATTTTAAATGAAAAAGAGAATTAGATATTTTTCTCAAATAATAGTATCTTCACTAAAACGAAAATACTCCATAAAATAATAATGAATCTAAAAATGGTTCGTTTTTATTTATCTTATAAGAAGGCTAAATTTCTTAATGTTCATTACGGAAACTTCTATTTTACGATGTTTTTATTACACTTTATGTTATGTCATTGCCCGTTTTTACAGTTACCCTAATTCACGTTTTCAATTAATTTTTAACCTCGAGAGTTGAATAGAAAATTATTGATGTAAACCTTAGCATAAGTAAATTTTAAACAATGACTTTTTTACTAAACCTAATTATAACGTCAAGAAACTTACACTAATTTGTAATTATTATTGATCGATGTTTTTTACACGAATGTTAAACTAACAGAACATTTTGTTAGTTGATGGTAATTAATGGGAAGTTGAGTATGCGAATGGAATAGGTGAATATAATAATTAAGAGAAAGGGTAAGATTGTGGATATGGTATTGTATAAGGGGCACTATACTTTACCAACTTTTTCGGTTCATTGATTGTCACTGCCAGCAAAAGCGAGCCCACAAGCATATGGCAATGGTAATGAAAATGCCATAAACATTCATCTAATCTCCTCTGTTGCTCTGTTTGCCAATATGATAATGTCATCACACCACACTGTCATTAACTCTTTCTTTTTATTGTTTATACCTGTAAGCCATTACCGGCTCAACAATCTTAATTTATTTATTATTTTTATTCCATGGTAGACATGGGATTTGGCAATCATGGTTTCACCTCTAAAACCAGGCCATATATATGAAACTTAAGCGGTTTTTCAATTCCAATGTTTTTGTTCAAACCCTTTTTCAGTTTTTTCTCTCTCTCTCTCTCTATTTCCTTTTTGTTTAAATAAATAAAGTGGTGCACAAAAGAATCCAGGACTATGTATTAATTACTAACGGTGTCATCAGTTTACACCAGCTTGTCCTCGAAGCTAGATGCGTGTTGAACATGCGTTTCGTCTTTTCTTCCATCACTTGCATTGAATGTCTTTCGGTATAACAGAAGGGTATTCAGATTTGTGTTCTGCTTCCTGTTTCGGATGGAGCTCCCTATGTGTTGTGTTTGAAGGTACAATAGTCGGTCTTCATTTTTGTTCTCTTAGTTGTGCTTTTTACTTTTTTGTTTTGTGATGAACAAGTAGAAATTCATCGCTTTCTTTTTCTTTTCTTGCATGTACCAGTGCTCTTCCTTTGCTAAATTCACAAGGTGGAAAAGAAAAATTTTGAGGGGAAAGGGAAAGAAATTGTTGGAGACATGTGGGATTGCAGAGGAATTTGCTTATTTATCTGTGGTTTATCAATCTTGCCCTTGGTATGTTTTTCTGACAACTTTGTTCCTCTAGATAATTACCTTTTAGACTGTGGAGCATCAACCAATACTTCTATAGATAGCCGCAATTTCACAGCGGATAGTTTCTACAAGAATTTTCTTTCCACCCAACAAGATATTCTTGCAAGTACTTCCATGAAATCAATAACTTCCTCCAGTGATTCGACTCTTTATGCAACTGCAAGAGTTTTCACTGCACCCTCGAAGTACTCCTTTCCTATTAAAAAAAGGGGGAGACATTGGATCCGGCTTTATTTCTTTCCATTTGCATATGAGAAGTATGATTTGAGTGCTTCAAATTTCGCTGTTTCCACCCAGAACTACAATCTTCTCAGTGACTTTATTGTGCAGAAAAACCCTGTTATGAAGGAGTACTCTTTAAATGTGAACTCAGACACCCTTGTCATCACTTTTATCCCTTCTGAAAATTCCATTGCTTTCGTGAGTGCCATTGAAGTTGTTTCGGTCCCTGATGGCCTCATTATTGATAATGGTTTCACCCTAAATCCATCAGGATCCTACTCTGGCTTGTCTACACAGGCACTGGAGACAGTTTTCAGGGTTAACATGGGTGGTCCAACTGTCTCCTCTGGCAATGACACGCTTCAACGAACATGGGTCACTGATGAGAAATTCCTTATACAACCTAACTTGGGTACTAATTTTTCAAATATAGGTGCTGTGAAATATGTCAATGGTGGACCAACAGCAAATACTGCTCCACCTTCTGTCTATGGTACTCTAACAGAGATGAATTCAGCCAGTGATCCTCGAAGTAATTTTAATGTGACTTGGCAGTTTGATGTGGAACCTCAATTTCAGTACCTTATACGACTTCACTTCTGTGACATAGTCAGCAAAGGCCTCAATGAGCTCTACTTCAATGTTTACATTAACTCCTTGTTGGCTGCTAAGGATCTTGATCTCAGTTCGATAAATAGTAATGTTTTGGCTACTCCATTTTTTAAGGACATGGTTACAGCCCCATCTGCCAGCACCAAAATGCTTGTAAGCATTGGCCCTTCTGCTGTGAATGGTGATTATCCTAATGCTATTTTGAATGGGCTGGAGATAATGAAAATGAACAATTCTGTGAGCAGTTTCAGCTCAGCAACAGCACCTGAGACTAGTTCTTTTGGTTCAGGTTCTAAAAAGGTTGGCTTGATAGTAGGTGTGAGTCTTGGGGCATTTTTTGCAGTGGTTACGGTTGTTGTTTTCTTTCTACTATGCAGGAAAACTAGACGTTTGGAAAATCAAGGGCATTCAAAGACATGGATTCCCTTATCAATCAATGATGGAACTTCTCACACCATGGGAAGTAAATATTCTAATGCAACCACAACAGGAAGTGCTGCTTCAAACTTTGGATATCGCTTCCCTTTTGTGACAGTTCAGGAGGCTACAAATAATTTTGATGAGAGTTGGGTTATTGGCATTGGTGGCTTTGGTAAAGTATACAAGGGAGAGTTAAATGATGGTACCAAAGTTGCAGTTAAGAGGGGAAATCCTCGGTCCCAGCAGGGGCTGGCAGAATTCCGAACTGAAATTGAGATGCTGTCTCAGTTCCGCCACCGCCATCTAGTATCATTGATTGGATATTGTGATGAAAAGAATGAAATGATACTGATATATGAATATATGGAGAAGGGAACTCTCAAAAGTCATCTGTATGGTTCAGGTCTTCCAAGCGTAAGTTGGAAGGAGAGACTTGAGATATGCATTGGAGCAGCTAGAGGACTACATTACCTTCACACTGGTTATGCTAAAGCTGTTATTCACCGTGATGTGAAGTCTGCAAATATCCTGCTCGATGAGAACCTTATGGCCAAAGTTGCTGATTTTGGGCTATCCAAGACGGGGCCTGAAATTGACCAGACACATGTGAGCACAGCTGTCAAGGGGAGTTTTGGGTACCTTGATCCTGAGTATTTCAGGAGGCAACAACTTACAGAAAAGTCAGACGTGTATTCATTTGGGGTAGTTCTGTTTGAGGTTCTGTGTGCTAGACCTGTTATAGATCCAACCCTTCCTAGAGAAATGGTGAACTTAGCAGAATGGTCTATGAAATGGCAGAAAAGAGGGCAATTGGAGCAAATAATAGATCCAACTCTTGCTGGGAAAATCAGACCAGATTCTCTTAGGAAGTTTGGAGAAACTGCTGAAAAATGTTTGGCTGACTTCGGTGTTGACAGGCCTTCTATGGGAGATGTCTTGTGGAATTTGGAGTATGCTCTCCAACTTCAAGAAGCTGTTGTTCAAGGTGATCCTGAAGAAAATAGTACTAATATGATTGGGGAACTGTCACCACAGGTCAACGATTTCAACCATGAAGTAAGTGTTTCTGCTGCACAATTTGAGGCTTCAAGTCTTGATGATCTGTCTGGTGTTTCTATGAGTAGGGTATTCTCACAGCTGGTGAAATCTGAAGGGAGGTGATTTTGAATATTTATGTAATTCAAATTATCCATTACGTTAAGTCTACTTTATTGTTTTATTAGTGGTTTATCTTCTGAACGGTAGTTTCAGCCTCCTTGCAGAGGATTGAGGCACCTTATAGAATTGTAAAGAAAGGTCAAGCTAATGAAACAAGTTTCTTAATTGTAACCCGAAAATAGGTTTTCATATTAACTATTTGATTAGTAACGTTTGAGTTAGATCATCTTGAAAAAATGAGTGCAAATTGTTCGTTAAGCATCTTATACATCATCAGCCCGGGAAACATCTGAATCGCCAAGTTCTTATATTAAACTGACAAAGAGAGATGGATTCTTTTATTTTACAAGATAAATGGTACAAACGTGTTCTTCTCCAATTGCCTAGCCTGCAGTTCCTCCAAAATGGTTCTTCGATGTGTAGCATGCTGCAATTTATTATTATTATTTATAAGGTTTGCCTCACGCTTCCAAATTTCTACCCTTATTGCAATTATACAGTCCAAAATTAGAAACGAATTTAATTATCAGGACGAACAACACAACATGTCATTTAAAGTTGACAATAATTTAATTCTACGATTGTCATAATCGCTTATCCGTCTTAATTTTACCTTCAGTGAGTAAATTACTCACAGTTGCATAGTATTTGCACAATCTCTCACCCAAATTTGCACTACCATTATTAATTAACATTGATTCAATAATCAGGTTTAAGGACTGACCTACACCCACGTTTGCTACCAAAACAAAAAGACACAACAAAGGAAAAATCAGGGTGGTTTTGAAATATATATCACAAACTATGTTTGTCAAAGATGATGCAATGCACAGAGAAACAAGCTTCTAATATTCAAAATATAGTGATTAAATTACAAACTTGGGGCAACAATAAAAGCTAGGATATCTCAATACGATATATGTTTTATAGTAAGCTCTATCCCAAAACACCATCAGAATATTACTAAACCCAATGCTTGCCATTCTTTTATCCACCATTAGCCTAACAACAAGAGTTTCTAACATTCTCATAAACCCTAAACCAAACAAACGAAACCTAGCAACAAAACAAGAAAAGAAGAAACCTAGCCCCCAAATCCGTATAGGGTTCTTCCCTGTCTCTTGAGAGCATAGACCACGTCCATTGCCGTAACGGTCTTTCTCCTGGCATGCTCAGTGTAAGTAACGGCGTCACGAATCACATTCTCAAGAAAGATCTTGAGGACGCCACGCGTCTCTTCGTAGATAAGACCACTGATACGCTTCACGCCACCCCTACGAGCCAAACGCCGAATCGCAGGCTTGGTTATTCCCTGGATGTTATCACGCAACACCTTACGATGCCGTTTTGCTCCTCCCTTTCCCAAACCCTTGCCTCCCTTTCCACGCCCAGACATCTTGGTCGCAAAAGCGCGTTAACAACAACAACAACAACAAAATCTGCACCAAACACACCGCAAACTTATAACAACAGATTAAACAGAACTGAACCTAATTAATCGCAAGATAGTGAAATAGGGAATTACCGAGGGAAGGATGATGACGAAACCTACGTTCTGTGGTGAGAGGGAAATTTTGTTTGTATTTATATGTGGCGTTGGAGTTGAGGTAATGGTGAGTGGATCCGTGAGAGGGTTGCAGAAAAGCGTTTGGGAGCGTTGATGAGTTGTTCATGGACGGTTCAGATTTGAGAAAATGTTGTGCACGGATCAATAACGTGGCTGAGAATTAGTGGCTCTTCTTTTTGGCGCTTTCTATGCTTAATGGCGCCAGTGGAATTATCTGAAATTTTATCTAAATTTTGCAACTAAGCTTGTCTCAAGGATTTGCCCGAGTGGAACAAAGGAAACAATGAGATTATTTAAATAGAAGAAAAAAAAGAATAGTAAACAAATTGTAATTAATAAAATTAATTTTATTAATTAAATAAAATAATATAATCAATTAATGAATGATTTTTTAAATTTTAACAAGAATAAATATAAAACTAATATAAAAATATTATTTAATAAAAATGATAAAAATAAATTAAAATTAAAAATATTTCATATAAGAATTAAAAATAAATATTATATTATATATATAATTGATTTTTATAATAATTCATAAGTAATATTAAATTGTAAAATTATTTCAAAAAATGTATGTTTTTATATAATAAATTAAAAATATATGGTTAAATATGAGATAAGTATTTTTTAATTTAAAAATAATATTAAAAAATATTAAAAATAAAATATTTAAATAAATAATATAATATAGTATTGAGTTTTCGTGTATCATTTTTTATTTTAAATGATACAATGTAACTAAAAATCATTCAATATTTATACAAATATTTCTTATTTTATCTTTGTTCTAATTTAATTCCTATCTTTTAAATTAGATATGATCAATTTGGATAATTGTTATATTTATTTTAAATTGTTTAATATAAATTTTCAAAAAAATTTAAGTTTATATATATTTTTTTTAAAACAAAATCAATTTTATGAAAATCTTAGGCAAAGATTTAAAAACTTAAAAAAATGTAATTGTTTGACTATATAATTTTTATTTACTAATTTAAATTTAGTAAATTATAATATTTATGCATGTTTTTACTATATTTTATATAAAAATAGGTAAATAATGATAGAAAATCTTCTTAAAATAAAATACATATTAATTAAAGATATAATAATATTATAATATATACCTATAAATATAATTATATATATATATATGTATATTATATTTCTTATCTTTTAATTTATTATTATTTTTTATATTAGTTACTAACAATTTTTTACTTTCTCTATCATATAAACTAACATATTTAAAGTAGAAGAAAGAATAAAAATATATTTAAATCTACTTTAAATTAAAGTGCATTTAATGATATTTTATTTTCAAGATAAAATTTCAAATAATATGTTAGGATGATTTTCTTATATATCATTAAATTCAAAGATTTATAATGATAATATGCGATTAAATGATTAATTAAATATTTATGATATTATAGTTAGTTATTTCACCAATTAATATAATAGATTATATTATTTGTTTTTTTTAATGATTTCATTATTTTTTTAAAAATAATAATGGTTAAAATAATAAGTGAGATATTTAAAATATTATTTTTTTATGTTTGGTTATGCATTTGATGCAAGTTTGTTAACTAAATTTATAATTGACTTGTCATTGACAAATAATTGCATAGGTCTTTCAAGTATCTATTATCATTTCCTTTAAAATTGAATCAAATCAAATGAGTTAATAACTTAGAAAGTTGGAAAAGAACCACTAATACACATAGTCTCACAAAATGTTAATACTAAAATTGAGTACATCTTAATGACTCAACAGAGCCAACTTGTTGTTGATTTTTATTTGGAAATAATAATCCAAATTTTAGGATTTCTTCCGTTGAAAAATTCAAATATGAGGTTAAGTCTCACATTGAGTAAAAATAAAAAAATTAAGTAATATATAACGAAAAAAATATATAATTCAATGCCTTAAAGTTTTGAGTTGAATGTGGTATTGATATCTTATATGAGTTGGGTCTATGTTTATTTGTCTTTCCCTAATGAATCGTTCCTCGAAAAACTCAACATCTTCTTTGTATCTCAACTTTTTTTTCTACATTTGTCTTTTTTGGATTATTCATAAATATGTTTATCATCTAACTGCAAAAACAAATATCAAACATACCATTACAAAGATATCTTAAAAACCCAACCATTTGTTTGCACAAAGTACTATCTACAACCTCTTATTTCATTTAGTTCTTTAACTTTCATATTTATTTATGCTAGACTTAGTGCAACATAATTCCTTTGTAGCATATTTTTATTGATGAAACACAATTCCTTTGTAGTTCTTAATATCTCAATAGTATATTTTTGTTGATGAAACATAATTCCTTTGTAGTTTTCCACAAACTCCGAGTTCCAATAAATATTTCATATTGCCAAGTTCATCATTTCAAATTCAAACATCAATATAGATTTAAAATATTCAATCTTAGTAAGATCATTTATTGTGATTAAAGTTTCACATACACATCATTATCAAATGGACATTTTCCAAAAATGAATTTTCAACATAAAAGAATCAATCATCTAAGTTGAGGTTCTAAAGTCTTGTTTCAATCCATACAAGATTTTATATAACTTATACATCTTACTTTCACTATCTTCAATTTCAAATTCAGGTGGTTGTGTCACATATGCATCTTCCTCAAGAGGTTTTTTTAAGAAAACAAATTTCACATATAACTAAAATAAAGTCCACCCTTTTCCACTTGTCAATGCTACAACTAGCTTTATTGTCTTTGTTCAAGTCACTAGAGCAAATATTTATGAATAATTGAGACCTTGTTTTTAAGAATCTCTTAACCTCTAATATTGCCTTATGCTTGACATATGATTTACCTAATTAAGTTTCAACTCAAATACCAATTTAACAATATTCATTTTTTATTAAAGGACAATTCAGTTAAAGTCCGTCTGATTTTTATTTATGGCTTGCAAATATCTTATTGTTGCAACTCTCCACAATTTTTACTTTATTACTTCCACATAATGAATTGGTTCAACCTTTGACAACAAAGAAAAATGTATAAAATCTCCCTCTTTTGTTAATGTAATATTAAGATATATTTCAAATTTTAAAAGTGATGTTGGAAAATTTCTCTGCCTAGGTTATCTCTTTAAGTGATTAGGAGCTTCTTCATTCATATGATCAAGTTCATTACCCTTTTTCCCGTTTATATCTTTAAATAGTATTGGAATAATATAAAATTTTAGATTGTTGTTATGAGCTATTCGTACCCATAATTTTGCTTCATTCACAACCACATCTTTATTGATACATATTTTATTAGTAGTTGAATCATAAAGTTTATAGGCTCTTGTAGAGTAATATCCTACTAGGATCATTGACTCACTTTTATCTTGCAAATTCCTCCTCTTTATCATATGGAATATGTTTAAAACATAATGAACTAAAATTTTTGAGATGGTTCATTATTGGTTTTTTGCCAAACCAAACTTCTTATGGGATCTTATCTTTCAACTTCTTTGTGAGGCACTTGTTCAATACATAAATTGTAGTAGAAACTATTTCCCCCAAAATGAGTGTGGTAGCTCATGTTGCTTTATCGTACTTTTTGTTATTTCAGGAATTTTTCTATTCCTTCTTTCTTTCCAAGCCATTGTGTTGTAGGATATATGGAATTGTGACTTCATGTTGAATTAATGTTATTTTCTATACAATAGGATATAAGTTCATTAAAAGTATACTTTCCACCTTTATCTGTCTTAAGTATCTTCAAAGCCTTCTCACTTTACTCTTTAACTATAACTTTGATTTTTTTTTTTTTTAAATTGCAAACACATCCTTGTTGTCCTTTGTCGAGTATAACCACATCACGTGACTATATTCATCCATGAATGAAATGAAATATCTATTTTATCTTACTAATAAGGTAATCATCACACATTTTATCAAACATAATAATACTAGGAAGTTAAATTATCATTTTCTTGTCCGTTACGTATTTTATACTATTAAAGATCTTATGACCAAGTCAATTTGATATTTTAATATCAATTTCTACAAGAAATTAACTTTTAACATTTTGAAGCTTAATTTGAAATTTTCTATTTTTTTAGAGGATACTACAACATCAATCTTTGCCTTAAATAATATATCGTGAACAAATAATCTTCAGGTGACTAACTAAAAAACCATTTTCTACCAACTAACCCATATTTAGTAAATTACATTTCATACTAGTAATATATAACACATTTTCAATTATTATTACCTTATTCCTTTTCTATTGATGACCAATACCTTATTGTTTTAGTTATATTATCAGCAAATCACATTTTACTTTGTTTGATTGTATCAAAATTAAAGAGTCAATTTTTGAGTCTCATCATATTATTAGAACATTTAGGTTGTGTTTGGATTGAAAAGTGAATTTGAAAGAGTAAAAAATAAGAAATATAATAAAAAGTGAGGTTATTTGGATTAAGAGAAAGAAATGAGAAAAAAGATTATAATAAAATTGATTTGATTGATTTAAAAAATTAAATAATGAAATAAATTAGTAAATGGCTAAAATATTCTTATTATAAATATTAATAAGAATATATGTATATATATATATATATATATAAAATTAATTAATTTTATTTATATGAAATAGTTATTTAATAAAATTGATAAAAGTAAATAAAATTAATTCTATATAAAAATAAAAAATTAAATATTTATAATTTATTTTTATAAATAATATTAAATATTATAAAATATTTAAAAAATAATAATGTCATTTTTAATATATAATTTTATATAATAATATATTGTTTGGAATAATTTTTTTATTCGAATTAGTTAATCCAATTTTTTTTATGTAATAAATCTTTAGGAAGGATAATTAAGGAAAAAAAAATTATGATAGTGTAAAATATCATTGCCTTCAAATCTTCTTAATGGTAAGAAGAATCATGATAGTGTAAAAATGTATCTTTATTTCTTATTTAATCACCACACAAACGTGATAATTTTTATATAATCCATGTTTCCAATTCTTCTACTACAGGAAATGAGGTTAAATAAACACAAGCCTAATGCCAAGAAACTAATTCTCTAAATAAGGTTCAATATCTTATGTCATAATTCTTAAAAGTAGAAGTTTATCATCAAATTTATCTTTAGCCTCATTTTCACTAATTTTTTTTTCTTCCCTTTACCATGGCAACAGTTGCATAATGTTTCCATGTCTCATAATTATAACATTCATTTTTTTTTTTATCTTGAATATTTATTTTCGCCTCTACTTTGTTATATCTTCCTTTTTCACATATATTTGATTTGAAAATCACCCCTCCTTATTTAATCTACCATTATTCTTACTTTTCCTTCACTTGCCACTATTTATTTGCATAATCTATATATTTAAATATACAAATTTTTAAAAGAAAATAGACAAATGATCTCTTTTCTTCTAATTTTACCATTTTTTAAAAATTTAAATAAATGCTTGTTTTTCATCAAGTTAATATTTTTTTTCTTATATATTGAATAGATATTCATAGACACTTAGCATTTCAATGATATATAAAAGTGATAAATACAAACATAACAAAACACTAAATTACAATTTTTAATCCATCTTTAATTTCTTAACTGTATTTTTTTTCACTATTGCAGTTTTCAATTTAAAAAAAAATTTGTACTCAAATATTTATTTAAGTTCCATGTTAACTATCAAACTATTTTCCAAGAGTACTATATAAAATTTAAAGTTCAGTTGGATCAAGGTAAAATATATATATATATATATATATATATATATATATATATATATATGAAAAAATTTCAATTATTTTTAAAATTTAAGGATTAAAAAAAAAAATAAATATATATATATATATATATATATATATATATAAATATTATCTTGGACCTAAAGTTAAAAACGACCAAAATGATAATTTAACTTTACGTGTGATAAAAATATACATATGAAATGAGATAATATACCTGAGTATAGGAGCAAAAGGTTCGTACATTGTACTAATTTTATTTTTGGTAAAATAATTTTTAATTAAGCATTGCTTAATTTTTTATTGACTGAAATTAATTTATAACGAAGATTTGAACGTTGAAAGGAAATTAATATCTACTGGGCCGGATAGAGCTACTTTTGCACCCCCAATAAGAGAATAATAATTGACATAAAAAATGGTCCAATTTCATTATTCCATTTAGAATTTAATATACACTGTCACGTGTTTTAATTTTAGTTCTTCGTGTATATTCGTGTGGTTTAATGAGTGGTATAAAATAAATAATAATAGTTGTGGAATTGCTTTTGGAAACGGCGATGTCCTTTCCAATTTCAAGTTCCAAGAATTGCTTAATAGTTTTGTGGACGTTGCATTCATAGCTCTTAGCTCACTGTTTTCGATTCAAATATCAATTTCCTAACCACTCGTCACCAATCACACAAAGTAACTTTTTTTCCCTACAATCTTAATTATTTATCTGGTGTTTCTTTCTATTTTATTTCGTGACGATGAAATTGTTAGAGTTAATAATTATGCTATTTATTATGATTTTTTTAATATCTATCTTTGTATATAGTAGTGTATGGTTTTATTTTGTAATAACCCTTAATCATTCTCTTAAAACTTATCCTTTTTATTATAAATGATAACCTGATTTAATAGAAATATTTTATTTTCTTTAAAATATTCAAAAGATTATCCATCTCGTTACAATTTTATTTTTAAAATATTTTTTAATAAATTTAAAATAATATATATAAACTACACTTAGTCTTGATTTTTATATAATATAGAAAAATCACTTAAATTAAAAATTAATAATGTCATCAACAATATATAATAATATAACAAATATACACATATTGATTTTATATTATACAATCAATTATAATTAAATATTGTTTTTTACATAATATAAATCTCTTTATACATTTTCTATTTTTTTTAAGAAGAAAAAAAATCGAAACAATGAAATAAAACGAAATGAGTTCCATTTGCATTTCATTATAATTTTTTCAACAATCAAAATAATAAATCTTAAATATATTTAACTTTATATTTTTTTTATTGGATACCATTGACGAGTATATTACATGCATGTGGATCAAGATTTGACTACATAAAATAATAAAAATATTAATTTTTATTATTTTGAATACTCTTTATCAAACACATGTAAAAGTTTGTTGACAACTATGAAAAGAGCAACGGCTATTGCGTGTCACTCTTATGATTGTTTGCATTTTTTGATATGAAAACGGCAGTCATAAACGAAGCTATAGTGGCCTACGCACCGCCGGTTCACAAAGATGATAGGGATGTCTTCTTTCCCACTTTTGAATGTTATTGTTACCCTACGAACCATAGCCTTTACCTTCATTTTAGAGGATCATGGACCCAATCAAACTTCAACCACTATGCAATATAATCCAATATCAACCCAAAATGATTGTTAGGCTAACGTGGACCCTACTTCAAAATCCAAGTTCTCAATGGATTTATTAATGTCAAAAGGCTTTTCAAATCATGTTGATAAATCAGTGAAGATGAGTTATAATTGTTTATTGATTTCCTTAAGATTAATTTTGTACCAGAATGTCAACATAATTATACCAGATTCATTGTATTACATTAAATTTGTAGGAGTTCAACGTTGATACGTCCATGCAAACAAGTAGACACCAAAAATCCAATGCTTGGTGATAGAAGTAGAACATGCTAGTTTTTTGAGATATTTTTGAGAATATGCTTTGTGGTGAGTGGTAATCCAGGACATGATTGAACCTTGAAGTTGGGCTTGGTAGGTTATTAATATCTTGGACTTTTGGTACTTCATTACAGAAAAGTGAATGGTAGCAGAGGTATATGGCCTCACTTCACATAATAATGTTTATCTTCTAGTGACTTATTGTGATTGCTACTCGCCGTTTTAAGTATAATTCCACTGAATTTCCTGCATTTGTGATGAAAATCTGCTGTGATTGACCTCAAACACAACACGAAGATTATCACGACAAGACTTGATTTGACTCTACTCTTGATTGATTCAGTGAAAGTGCATTATCGTATTCATAAGCTCAAACTTGCTTACTACGGGCTTGTGCCTCTCTACTTCTATGCTTTTTGACATTTTTTTTGTCAGTTCTGATAGCATCCAGCATAAAGAAAAAAAAAAAAAAAGTTCAGTGTGTAGCAAAGAGGTTACTCTTCATTCTTCAATGCCAAAATGGCAATGTATGCAAATGAAACATATGCCAAAAAGTAAATTGCTTACTCTTTTACTCTGTTTTCACTCTGCTATGATTTAAGGGTGGCCTGTTTTTGTAAAGTGAAAAAAAAGGGCTTTTGTAGAGCACTCCATTTCTGTCCAAAATTACACTGTATAGAGGTGATAGGTGCATCACCACCTACCATCAATTTTTTTAATCACAGATACCTTTCTTATCTTTTTCAGGGTATCTACTTTTAATTTACTGCTTCATTCTTCTTCCTTCCTCCCCCACATAAACGTATCAACAAAAAGACTTCAGTATAAAAATATATAATTTATAAAATACATCATATAGGAATTAAACCCCAAGTACAACTTGTAAAAGTTTTTATCCAAACAATACAATGCTGCTGCTGAGGCCTAGTCTAAGAAAAACATAAAGGGCACTAAAAACATCACCCCAGATTCAAGTCTAAAACTGCACTTGGTCACATCCATGATTCAAATAAGTACCCATATATTTACATTCCCCACTACAAAACTCAAAACATTGAAAGCATACAAATTAATTATCTAGACATGCTGATTTTTAAGCATGCAGTTATTTTAATAGAACACGCCGAAGGACGAACTACTGCCATGAGGCTCCTGAGAAAGATTTGCAGGAACCAAGGAATCAAAGAAATTGGTCCAATTCTCTTCTTCTTCATCCTCTTCCTCTCCAGTACCCATGTGGCTCCACTGAACTGGTGGGTTCATTGCAATTTCGTCATTCTTGGCAAATCGCCCTCTGATTCGTGGCCTGCTATCTGCCAATGTCTTCCTGCAAGCATACTAATTCCAGAAGAAAACAAATAAATATTTATGTTGTGGTTGCATCATGCTAAACAGTAAACAGTATTGTGGTGGACCAATAAAGCTATGCACAGTACACAGTGTTGGAGAGAAGTATAGCATGTCTAATTTGTTTCTTTCCTCCAAGACGTTACAGTAATGGGGCTACTAGCATGTTACCCTATAGAATGAGACAAATAAGTGAGGAGATTTTTCTTGCTTCACAAATCAGGCATTTCAGGTCCGGTTGCAACACACTAACACTAACACTAACATACACATGAAGTCACTATTATGTACAGTTTTTAATTAATATATCTCTTGTGCGCCCAACATCTCTATCGTGCAAAGATAATGAACGAATCCTTTTATTGAAAGAATCACTACTTCGATCAGGATTTGACAAATTTTTACTACTTCCCTTCATTTGTCCATGATATTGCAGTTTACTTCAAATTCGGCCAAGTCTCACTTTCACTCTTTTTTCTAATCTGAAAAAAATAATATTCACATATTTCGATGGAATAGACAAGTTTTAAAAGGTAGTTTCCCGTGGACATTATTTTCATAACCTCTCACTATTTCTAGGATTGTAGTGAAATCACAACTGCAATATAAAAGTGGTGTATTCCTAAGTTTTAGTCTATAAAGTTTAATCAGCTCAACATAAATTTTATCAGAAAAGCAGATACCAGAAAGCTTTGTCAGTTAATATAAAACTGAATCTGAAAAAACTCTAGACCTTAATTTTCTTGCCGAAGTTCCTCTGGTTTCTCTTGCTCCTATATCTCTCAATCCTCACCTTCTTCTCCTCTGGGCTATAAGGACTGGTTCTGCTCATTTCTTCTATGATCAAGCTACTTTCACTTGACAATGGACTATCTGAATGATGATAATGTTGCATTCCATGGAACCTCTGTACACAAAACATGACTCAAGAATCAATTTACATTAAATTACACCACGTATAACAACATCATTTACATCTGTATTAAGAGTTTAGTTTCACTTTTCTCTAATTGATCATCTACAACAAAATCAGAGTTGATTTTTACGTATGTTTTAAACCAACAGCTACCTTTTTGTGTGCGACTATAACTAGAATATATTAAAGAAAAGATTAACCCAACAGGGAACAACTTAAAGGTTGTGACAGTACACCAAGAACTCCATTGGGTGCCAGACAAGTGATCATGGTTGTTCAACTCTCACAAAATTTGAAAAATAAGCATTTTAAGATATTATATATGTATATAATTAATTAGTTTCTTTCCAAATTAAATTAGTCTCTTCTACAGTAGGTTTGATAAAACCGGGACAAAATAAATAATTTATATACTTATTGATAGACATTCATCTTGAAACTTCAACGTTAACTTTCCAAAATATTAAAATTCATAAAATAAAAATGAGATTAAACCTCTAACCACCAAATTAAAAGGAATGATGATTTGATAATCATAAAATTGACATGTATAATAATTGAGATATGTATATAGTGTATTTCATGTTGTTTTTAAATTAGAAATGAAGTTCTGTCTGTTTAATCTATATATTAATTGAGATATGGATTAGTGTAGTTAAGATATTTGTTTATAATTTTTGAGAAGTAAGGAACCTGAAGGTCACCGGTACTACAAGCTCTCCGTACGGGGCCGTTTTGGGAGTCAAGCAACTGAGCGAAGAGAGGAGAAAAGGGGTGGTGGGCCCCACCGCCGGTCTTCTGCAGCGAGTGGCTGCTAACGCTCCTCTGCACTCGCCGACTCTCGTAACTCGCCAGCGAACTCGGCGACCCCATGTAGCTCGTGCACCCGCTGCTGCAGCTGTTGTACGTGTTATTCGAACTCACCTCCGAGTCGAACTCGCCCAGGGCCAATTGGTGGTGGTGGTGTTGAGGAGCGTTGGCGTACTGCATTGGCGACGCCGTGGATGAGTCCGGCGGCGAGAGAAAATGCGCGAGGGAGTCGGCGGCGCGTGAGAGGGAGGCGTTGCTGTGTGTGTACATGGCGCGTGCGTGACAGGAAAAATAACAAGGACTTAGAAGGGAAGGTTATGATAAGTTTCTACTGTTATTTGTAGACAAGAGTAGAAGTTGAAGAGTGAGTGAGTGAGTGCATAAGAAGTGTGGAGTGGTGAGTATTTAATATTTTTCGGTGTGGGAGATGCGGAACAGGACAAAACAGAAAAGCCAATAGCTTTCCAACTTTTATTCTTTGGAAAATATTAGACGTGGAGATGATGTCACCATTTCAGCTAAGAGTTGACTTCTCTGGTTGCATAAAATTTCAACTATTTTAAAATAATTATATTTTTAATTAAGGTCTTTTTTTTTTCAAGTAAAACATTCGTGTCTTTATTTAGTTTGACTCTTGAAAACACTGTTACCCTCCATTTTCTATGAATGGAAACAAGAGTGAAGCAAGATAGAGAAAGAAATCAGCTATTATCTAAGGACAATACTCCATACAAGATTATGGGTGTTCTATGGAATGAATGACGTTGTTTTCCAATTAATATTATTTTTTTAATAATTTGTGTGACAATTTTTATTAAATATTAATATATATTACCAAAAGAAAAATCAAAGAATAATATGATTCTTTATAACATATGATAATCTTTATATTTTGTTAATATTGATAATTTATGTATACAAATTTATAACATATGATAATCTAAGTTACTTACTCTTGGATTTCACTCAAATGACTTTAAAAATCTTCAATCATAAAGTAAATTTACACATGTAATGCGTTGATTATTTTAAATAATGTTTTTTTGCTTAATCGATAGTCACTCACTTCCCTTCCAATTAGAGTGAGTCAAATTCTAATCCAAGAATTGTTTGTAAGAATGTTTAACGAGTTTGTAACTGTTGAAAATATTGTCAAACATTTTTTTATGATAATTTGGCTTCTGTCACATTGTCTATCACAAAATAGTTATGTGATGAATTTGATCCATAAAACATGATTTTTTTTAGTATTATTTTCAATTTTAATGAACTTAGGTTAATGAAACCTAATTAAAATATTATTTTTATTGTTAAAAAATGCAAATTAACTCATTTCTCGTTATTATTTTTAGGTTAAAATATACACGTAGAATTTGGAAACATAACTTGTAAATAAAATTAAAATTTAGGAGAGATACTTTATTTTGTGGTTGGAGTAGTTTAATCAAACAAGACATGCATAGAGCACAAATCAAGGTACTCATCATATATATATATATATATATATTTGATTGATTGCGCTCTCAAATCTATTAACCAATATTAAAAAAATTGAGATTGAATTATAATAAGATGGTTTTATTTGTCCCACATGACATAGTACAAGATGAGAAACAACTTTAATTTGTTCTGACAATAAATTAATGAGTTAAAATTATTAATATGACTTGTTAATTTAGGATGGATTTGCCCACTAAACCTAATTCCTAAAATTAAGTTTTATGAATTGATTTTTCAAATTTTAAAATTATTTTATTGGTTACACATTGTAATTTCAAAATATTTATTTATTTTTTTAATAGTATTTATTATAAAAATAAATTATAATTTTAAACGTTCAAATAATTTATATATATATATATATATATTTAATAAAATACGTGAATAAATTCAATAATAAATATATTATTTTTATTTAATAATTTTGATATAATTAAGTTTAGAAGTTAAGATATTAGATTTCAAGTAAAATATACAACACCTTATCCAATTTCTTAGAAATTAATTAAATTAAAAAAAACATAATATAATCTATTTTACTTGAATTAAGTCCTCTAACCTAATCAAATAAACATATTAATTAAACTTGATATGAATTAGATGATAATTAATTATATTATTTTTGGCCCCACCACTTATTCCGCATAAAAAGCAAAATTTCCAATCAGTCCACGTGAGAAGATTGATACGGAGCAGTTAAAGTTAATAACTTAATTAATCTCAATACATCTCGATTCTTAACCATGATCATTACTTCTAGACAAAGCATGTTTGGGATCATAGGGTAAATATTTAGGATTCTCAACGTCAGAGGTTGTTGTTGTTGGAATACAGGAACCCCGCAAAAAGATTGGTCATGTACTGATGCAGATCCTATTTTGGACACCCACATGCTATGTCAAATTTGGCCTTAAACTTTTTAAGTTCATCACTTTACTAAAATTCTTAAGTTCAATCAAAGAAACTATATAAACAAGTTATTGTTTAAGTGAATTAATTTTCAAAAAATAGTGTCTCTTATTCATTTCTTCATGAAAGTTAAAATTAACCACTTTAAAAAAATATAATGAATCAATATATTTCAAACATATAATGACGGCCATGGCTTATATTTGATCATATAAAATAATTTAGATAATCTTTAATCCTGTTTATTGCAATACATTAAAGGTTTTATTTCATATGTCATATTAAATTTGTTTTAATGGATAATTTTATAAGTGTATATATTTTTATAATTATATTTTATTTAATAATTTAATTATTACAATTAAATATAAATTTAATATAAATCTTTAACAATGATAAATTTATAGGAGGTTTTAAATTTTTACAAAGATTATTTTTTTCAATTTTATAAAACTAATTTATTTTAAGAAAATAAAATAAAATAATTTACAGAAATTAAAATATTTAAACAAATATTATATATCATTATTATAACATTATTTTTATTTTGTAAATAAAATAAAAATAAAAATATTTCTATTGCTCGTATTGTGGCTGTGAATGGATGGAAACAAAATATTAAAATGTGTTTTTTCATGTCAATTTAATTAGTAATTATTCGACGTAAAAAAATTATATTTGTTTTAGAATTTAATCATTTTAGTAGGGGTAAGAGTTATCTTTAAAATAATAATGACAACTGTTCACAGAAAATAATGTTTTATTTGTTTGTTGTAATTTAAATTTTGTAGGTGATTTAAATTTTGTACGTGGCTTAAATTTTGTACGTATTGTTGTTACGTGTTATATATTTGTTAGTACGCGTGAGAGTATCTTTCCTATTTTTTAGTATGCGTGAGAGTATCTTTCCTATTTTTTATATGATCCTACTAATAGCAAGATTCATATGATCTCAAATTTCAAAAACAGAAACTAATAAAATGATTGATGCTATAGACCTGTGGAATAACTTCCTCAAACAAATGAGGTAGTATTCCAAACAACTTGATGATACAACAACCACCAATAATTTTTCAGCAAAAACTTTTCCAATTGAAGGGAGGGCTAGAAGACCATTAATCGAATGAAAGATTATGTTAATTAATGAAGATCCAGTAACATACAACCAAACATCACAGAGTCAACATTGGAGAAATACCACTAATGCTGAATTTCAAGCCATTCAAATAATTGATACATGAGACCTAGTTGATCCACCACCAAATTGAAAAATTATAGGTGTCGAATGATTTACAAGACAAAATTGAAGAGACAGGTGAGATTGACAAATTTAAAGTTAGACTAGTAGCAAAAGGATACAGTCAAGAAGATGACATCGATTATAGCAAGATTTTTCCACCAGCAGCTTGTTTGGAAACCATTATAACTATTGTTGCATTAACAACCACAAAAAGGTGGAACATTTATCAGCTTGATATCAACTCAGTCTTCTTATATGGAGCAATCAATGAAGATGTATACTTAGAACAACCACAAGTTATCTCTAAGGGACATGGACATCAGCTATACAAACTTAGAAAAACCCTATATGCTCTTAAGATATCTCTAAGAGACATGAACATCAACTATACAAACTTAGAAAAGCCCTATATGCTCTTAAGATGATGAATGAGTTTGCTGACTTAGACAAGATGAGATATTTTTGAGCATTAAAGTTTTGCAAAGCTGTGATAAAATTTTTATTAGACAGAAGAAATATATTGAGATATGTTGGACAGATTCCATATGTTTGACTGTAATTTAGTTAAGAATCTTGTTGTTCTAGGGATTAAGTTGCTGAAAAGAGATAAATGGTCAAAAGTTGATAATACTTTATTCAAATGACTTATAGGAAGCCTTACGTATCTGAATGCTACTAGACCGAATATTGCACATTCAATTAGGTGATTAGTCGCTTCATGGAGCATCCTAAAGACAATCACTCTCTAGCAATAAAACATATTTTGAGATATTTATAGGAAACTCAAAATTTAAGAATTTTTTATAAAATTTGAGGAAATGTATAATTACTTGCCTCTATTAATAGTGATTATGTAGGGGATATAATTAAAGACCTTTATGATATATGAGTGTTCGCGACCCTACCCTTATGGTAAGGATAGTGCTCCATCTCTGTTGAGAGTCTTCTATCCTTAAGATGCACTATGTTGTCTGACTCGTAGTATAAGGTGTGAACAACATGGTGTATGATGATGGTTCATACAAGCATTTTGTGCTTGTCAATGTGTTTGACTGAGAAGAATTTTGGAGCATCTAGATCATTGTCAGCAGTGATTGGAGCTACTGTCATTTTTTGTGATAATGCTTCTGCACTAAAATTTACATGGAAGAAGTAAACAGATTGATTGATGAAAGATTTCATTTTCTGATAGATATGTGTAATAATGGTGTTATTGAGCTGAACTACTGCAGTAACGAAAACCAATTAGCAGACATAATGACAAAACCATTAAAGTTGATAGTTTTTAGTATCTACGAAGTACTTTGGGCATGTTTGAAGAACTAAAATTAAACTGTTGCAAGAGCATACAATTTAAGGGAGGGTTTGTTCACAGAGGATTATGTTTTATTTGTTTGTTGCAGTTTAAAATTTTATATGTGGTTTAAATTTTATACGTGTTTGACAAGAAAGTGGGAGTTATCTTTACTATTTTCTAGTTCATCAGTTGTAAAACTAAATCTATATATTTAACTTTTTTATTTTACGTAAAAAAACAGAAATAAGTTTTCTGAAATAACAACAACAGGGTAATTTTATCCACCACCATAAGCGACAACTATATCATTATTGTGACCTATTC